ACAGATAATGCTTTTGTCAACAAATGCTATAGCACTAGATAGTTGTATATGCCCTTTTTTTTTAAAAAAAAGACCAAAACCGAAATCTTTGAAACACAACAGAAGTTGAAACAACTAGTTACTTTAATGAATCTGGGTAACGTAATTATCTGAAAAATGTAGTGTATTTGAGCCATACATTTCGAACAAACTGGTCACACATTTACTCGCTAAGGCATTTTAGAGGAAAACTGCAAGTAGTAGGTGGACAAATGTGACATAATGGGATTTAGCAATGATAATAATAATAAGAAGAGGAAAAGTAATGAAGTGGGAATGATAAGGTTTGAAGACAACCTTGGTAATACAATAAGATAATCATTACCAAAGTAGGTTTAGCGTAAGGAAAAAGTGTATTTGAATACAAAGATGGGATTACGTCATAATTAAATCAAAGGAGAAGACAAGACGAAAGCTGTCGAAATCTCGTAGTGATGAAACCCATATTGTCCCATCCCTAATTAATCTAGATAGATATGTAACTAATCTATCCTCTGTTCAACTTTCGACATATGAGAAGGAAGGCTTTTCGTTAGATTGATGCTTTCAGTTCCCCCACACTTCAGTTTCCGATTTGGCTATGGGGGCCAACTTTCGAAGTCTTGATGATCAGTTATTTCACCTTGTTCCAATCTCTTCAAATAATCAGAGTTGTTTGAAGGTTTAACTAGTGGAGATTAGCCGTCAGTTCCGTAGGTCTTATAACTTAACATTTCAAAACCTCAGAGAAATTTCTAAATGGCTCTAATGTAATCATTCTAAGGCCTGACAAACGGTCATGTATAGTCACTCAATCAATCAATATCAACATAGGACCTGACCGTTAGCTGCTACCTTGACGTGGTGGTCGGGCTTGCATATCACAATGACCCAACGAGCTATGCTGGTGGAACGCTTGTTCCCTCGAGGTCCTACCATACCAGAAAGGTCTGTTGGGTAGTGGTTAGACGAAAAGCAGTTACCGTTATAGTGTAAATTGCTACACTATGATGGGGGTCTGAGGGCGAAGTCGTACTGCTGCTAGCTGGATGGGGTGTGACAGCAGTAAGGTGTTTCCCTTGGATGACCAGCAGTGCCAAGCTGATGCTGCCTTCTCAGTGGAAGGGGGGGTTAGAAAAGGTCGGCCCCAAAAATAACACACTCCACCACGCCCCACGGTCTGCCGGGCCGGCGGTGTTGGTTTACTTGTCGTTTCCTTTCGACCATCCAGCCCCAAAAATACAAGTCATGTATAGTTTCAATGAACGAATATGATTAAAAAAACAAAATGATTTCCATCCTTAGTGATGAGTGTAAATTTATAGCTGATGTTCCATTGGACGACCTTAGAAAATTAGAATGTAAAGTAACATCTAATCTAGTGAAACTCTTGAATATGAATGTGAAGAGGTAAAGAAGAATTTGCTTCCCTTAAGCCTATGTGGTCCAAGTTACTTAATCTGTATGGATTGCCTAAAATTCATAAAACTACCAATCTTTTACGGCCTATACTGTCTGCCTTTAATTCACCAACACATAAATTGGTAAATGAATTATATAAGTTTGCTTTGAAAGATAATTTTGAAATTGTTGATTATCTTACTGATGTTAATATGAAAGGCAAAAGGTTGTATTCCTTTGATGTTAACTCTTCATTTATTAATGTAATTCTAATTAAAACCATTGACATTCTTCCTGATCATATTATCTTCTAGTAATTTTCCTTTCCCTATCCCTTCAATCTGTCTGAAAGAGCTACTGCTATTGTTTACTGATAAAGTTTATTTCACATTTGAAGGAGAACATTTCCGACAAATAGATGTTGTAGCCATGAGAAGTCCCCTAGGACTATTGGCAGCTGATATCTACATATCATATATTGAAGGCTTGGGTAGTGACCTCATCAGTAAACTTAATCTCTATCGGAGACATGTTGATGATCTAACTGTGATATGTGACAAGTATGAAGATGCGACATGTTTGCTAGAAGGACTCGATACTGTACAAAATAATATACGCAAAACATATAGAGGAGAGAAAGGTAACCATCTACTGTTCTTAGATATATTCCTGAGTTGTAGGTAAGATGTGTCAACAAAACTATCGATATGGAGGAAGCCTAATTTGGCAGGTCAATATCTAAGTTTCTATAGCTTTTGTTCAATTAAATATAAGCAAGGTTTGATGCATCCGTACGACAGACTCAATGGATGATGACATCAAAATACTGAAACATTAGTGGGAAATGGATACCATTGAAGTTCACACGCCGCTGCAAAAATCAGCCAAATCTGTATTGTGTTCTGAAGAAATACTTTTACATCGTGCTACTATACAGAGGGGAGTCTTACATCATAATTCTAAAACGGAGGTTAAAGTCGGACATTAGAAAAACATACTATGCAGCTAAGCTAATCGTAGTTGATACGACCGAACACATGTTTCAACACTGTATAAGCGATCGCATCACATCCCACTGCATTTATCAGTTTACATGTGCATGTGGACAAGCATATATAGGGAGGACTAATCGAGATATGGATTTGAGGGTGGGGGAACATGCGCCAAAATGGTTACAAAAGCAGATAGATTCACAAACATCGATAATCGCAGGTGGCAGAAAGCCATCATCATCCATATTTTTGATAAGGGTCACGGGACTGATATTAAAACAGCCTTAAAAATTTTGTATAGAAACTGTCAGGAGCGTATACTTGGGTTTCTTGTAGCGCTAGGCATACACAAATTTAAACCCCCATTGTGTGTTCGAAAATAGTTTGTCCTTACGTTAAACCTACGCTGGTAATGCTTATCTTATTGCATTACCAAAGCTACCTTCAAATCTTAACACTCTCCCTTTATTATCTTTTTTATTATTAAATTCCCTTTATGTCACATTTTTCTGTCTTCCACTTTGTTTTCATCTAAAAGGCTTTAGCTTTTTAAGATAGTCTGGATCCTCTAATGGCGTAGCAAATCATCTGCTGCTATTCTATGCCAAAATAACCATAAATAAATGACGGCGTTTGAAGCGATCGCTCCCGAGTCCCGATGGGAACAACACCACTCACTGGGAGGCAGGTACACTCGGCTGACGAGTCCCAAGTAGGACGAAATGCGTATCGTGGATTCCACTGCCCATCATTACTTATACATCATTAAAACACAGGTGATATCGAGGCATCCGTACAGGAGCCCATATGCCAACAGAGATTGATCAGTTCGGTCCAATCAACGACGGTTTAATACAAACAATAACACATAAATAGAACCGTTGCATTTCGAAATTGCTAAATCTGGTTCTTACGTTATACAACACCTAGTTTAGTCTATTAGCTTCCATAAGATATATGCGGTAAACATTTATAATGAAATTCATAAAGGTGGAACTTTCTCCTCACACAGTTTTCAGTAAACTGCAGATGATACTCTAATAAACATCTTATTGTTTCATTAAACTATCGCCTTATACCATAATATATGCCGTATAACCGTTTAGACAAGCTATTATTTTCAATTGAATTCCAGTAATAATTGATTCTGTCACTAACGTTTACAAAAGAATTTTCTGAACTGACTTACCTAAATGTATAATATTATTAACAAACTTATAAGCGGAATCACCATATTGTTGACCCTTAATTCCTCAATATATATACATAACTGTAGGACATGAAGAAGAATAGCTACTACTCCTTTCCACAAAAGATGTCCAGTTCCAGAACAAGCTTTTCAAATAAATTGATGGGGCGGCAATGGATTCACCTCTAGCAGATATCTTCATGGGTTATCTCGAACAGACACGCGTGAGTTCAGTTATCAGAAGAACAACCTATTACCACAGGTACTTTGATGACACCTTTATCATTTGTAATGATATGAAACATGCGAGTAATCTGATAAGCTCAACAAAGCTCATCTTAACATTAAATTTACGATGGAATATGAGTTCAAATTTCGGACCTCGACGTGAGAAGAAATGATGGTAAGATTAAAAATACCATTCATAGAAGAGACATATGGACCGGACAATGCCTTAACTACTACAGTTTCTGTCCTGCCAGGTATAGGTGTGAGCTCCATAAAACACTTAACAACAGAACTAGAAAATTATGTCCTGTGGGTAAGTTAAAAAAAAGTAAGCTTTGTTGAGGAGTGTTTTTGGGAGGACGGATATCCTAAAAGATCTATCATGAAGTATGAAGAAGGATAGATGGAGAGAAATAAACACCCAGCTGTGAGAAAGAAGGCTTTTATACACCTTAGATTCAAGGGAGATGCAATATTCAAGGGAATAGACACAAGGATCAACTGAACACTGAGAAGAAACTTTCCTGCAGCTAGACTTGTATCAGTAGACAATACCGCATGCTCGCTAAACCAGTCAAAATTAGATAATTACCCTGCTCCCGTCACCTCCAGTTGTATCTATGAGCTCATATGCACTTGGAGTAGTAAGTACATTGGGAGAACTAAGAGAAAGGCGTCCATTCGGTTTGCTGAGCGTATCCCCAAGAATATGTCCTTGAAAGGAAGTAAAATTATAACCAGATGAGTCACCAGACACACTTTGAAACCCCGAGTGCTTATGAAATAGTAAACGTATAGAGAGTGTCTGGATTACTGCGTTTATCGGAAGTGATCACAATAAAAAGCATACAGGAGAGTGTGGTTAGTTTCTCACTCCCTTAATGAACATGGTATGACTCTGTTTCATTTTCATAACTCTTTATCTTTTCCGTTTCTTACTTTTCTTACCTCTGTACAATTAGTGATTCTGTTGCATATTAAATGGATTATGAATAATTTCACGCTAATTTTGAAATATTTTATGTCCTAATAATCACTGCACTTTCAGACAGTATGCAGCTGAATAGAATTTTTAAAATAAAATGACGTTGTTTCATTCTGTTAATTTCGTTCTTCTTGCATTATCTAAGAATATTCTTTGTTCACTCAAATAACTTTCAAGTAAAATATTTCCTGCGAGATTTATTAACTGATCAGCCAGTCATGCAATATATCTAACCTAAATAAACACATTAGTGTAAATGTAATCATGTTTAAAAATTATATTACATTACACGGAATCATAATCTTTTTTTTCTCTTGTTTCTACTGAAAATGAAAGACAACAATACAAGAAGAAGGAAAAATACATAATTATGCTTTTTTTTTTCAAAAATCAGTTCAAGTATTTCGGGAGGTAGCGTACGACGACAGGTGAGGAGAAGAAATTATTGAAGTTATGTGTACAAAAAGTTTTCATATATGAACTGCGACAAATAATAACTACAACAGTGAATAAAAGCAAGACTGTTTACAAATAAAATGGTGAGTAGACACAAAGTTATGTATGAAAATAGTATGGTGTAGATTAGAGAAAGAGGATAAAATGTTTATATTTGCAGAAGGAGAATTATGCAATACAAGACAGTAAGATGGATCAGAGAGAAAAAGTCGGAGATAGGCGAGGAATGACACATAATAAGAAAATAAATCATGATGATTACACAGCCTTTGACAGAAAAATCAAGTATATATACAGACGAACAACTAATGCGCACAGCTTATATTTACAATTGCATAAACTGATTAAAATTACTAAACAATAAAAACTCACTAAGAAATATGAAAAAAACAGAAAGCAATAGATATGACAAACAGATTGAGAACACAATGAATTTATACAAGCTTCTTCTTCTCTTTTTAAATAATGGGGTGAATAAATTTATGACTGAAAGACAACTTATGAAAATATCAACATTTTATTAACTGTAAGTCAAGTATAAGATATTAGTAAATATTTTCATCTGGTATTGTTATTATTAGTATAATCAAACGCTCCAACGTTGGAGGATTTGGACTAGGCTGTGAATGATGAACTGACTTCGAAGTACTATCTACAACAACAGTCTTTGAATAATACTGATGATGATGATGAACAGTTGATCTATTCTTCAATTTACTATCATTTTTATTTGTTGAAGAAGTATCATTGTACTCATCTTGATCGTTATCCCGTTCTTGATATGATAAAGTATTCAAGGAGGATTTAGATGTCATGAATGAAGATGATGGTGCTGATATGATGACTGATGAATTCTGAATGTACATAAGAATAAACAGAAAAATAATGTCTAATAATACAATATAAACAACTGTATGAAGTTAAAGCATACATTTTTCAAAACCAACTATAGTTTCGATCCTTACTAAGTCTCTACATTGATTTGATAATAAGGCAAGTGAAGTGACATTTAAGCTGTCGGGTTTCCTAACTATGAAAGCACTGGAATCATGAACCAAGGGACTAACGATTCGATTACAGATCCGAATAAAAAACCCTCCGAAATTCGATTTGCTTCCATATAGTACAATTTATCTGTTTCTAAAATCATCTTGACACACACTGAATTATCCTCATCAACTACACAACTTGATTACTTATCTCTACAATTTTGTGTCAATAGACATGCAAACTGGTCACAGTAATGTAGAAAGAAACATAGAACCTTTCCTAAAATTGTATCACCTAAAGTTGTAGCACTTTGCAACAGATAAAGTGGTGAGAAAAAGGATTACTGAGAAGGATAAAAAAGTTTATTGCATCTACTAAACCACAAACAAACAAGCACCTTCGAAGTAATGTACAATTGAACTCCAAACAGCTAATACCAAACAACAACAATCCTTTCCAATGATGGCTTATAGTTATATGATCTATTTGTGCTCACTAATATATTAATAGCAGCTTAAATCAAGCAAGGAAATGTCTCACCTGAGGTTGAAAGCTATCACTGACCAGGAAAAAGCAATTGTAAGACAAAAATCGCAGGGGACAAATAACGCTATCGGTTGTTCAGTGAAAAATTTCTTAGATATTTCCAGAATATCTTTACGATTGGTTCGGCTACAAGTCACACATCTCTTTAGCAGCAAAAATGACAGCTTTTGGTAAGGCTAATCCCCTACATCATCTGTAGCGCAGTCAGTGAGTGTGACGGTGAAGACTAAAATAGCATTCAATAAGAGTCTTAATATGTTTTAGTTCTTTCAAATCTACTGAGCCAGGCACCATACACACAGCTGTCGACTGGTATCAAGACAAGAGGAACGTTTCATGCGCTAGAAATACCTACAATAAAGAGTTCATGAGGACTGGCTGCTGAGTCTTCATAGACTTGCGAAGTGACTTTCACAGATTAACTACACTGGTTATGTGAAGTCAAGTGAACAATCATACTTGGGTGCCATATGTTTGTCTTAGAAAAACAGAATGCATCCCTACTAAGAAAGATTTCAGAGCTTTGGTAGGTCTGTTGACCGATTTAGTATAACATTCGGAAACTAGAAGCTACCGTGTCGAACTAATAACATAGTTCTCAGGAGAGTAGAAATAATGTTTTGCTGGTTGTAAGGTATGAATATAGGGGCATAACGTTGGAAATAGAGGTAGTGAAGTCAAAGGAAAGGAAAGAGGCAAGGTGGTCAGGTTACAGTTCGATAGGTTTTGAGTGCCGCTGAAAGAGTGCAGGTGGTTGATACCTTACAACTTTTTACATCATGAGGATTAATGTTTTCGTAGAGTACCTAAAGAGAAAGTAAATTAATTTTGCAGGACAATAGAGTTCATGAGAAATATGTATAATGTCAGCCATACATTATGTATTACAAAGTTCTTGGTATGTGCTGCGTCTATTCTCGAAAGGGAACCCCTACCACTAGTAACGTAAGTCCATGGGACAAATAGGAGTACACTGTTTTACAATTGACGTTCTCTAACCCATCTGCCTCAAAAATGCAAGTTTTTACCAGCTTAGAATGCTGTTTACCCTAGAAAAACATTGCATCCAGATTGGTGATGAAACGTCCAAAATCAAACATTAGAGCTCATGGTACACTGAACATCTTTAGACTGAGCTTCAAATCTTCTTTACTAATGATTACAAATTTTTATTGAAATAGACTGAATAGTGCATATTGACACAGCAAAACAAGTCAAATAAAGAGTATGAAACTGTGATTCCACTACTCAAACATGTCCAAATCTCACTATGCCATACACCTGCATCTGACTTTCACATAGTGGATATGCTTCACAAATTACTATATAAATCGGTCTATATGCGTTTTCCATAGTTTTTACAATAATAGATATAATATTAGGATGAATAATAACGACTGGATATATCCAATGAATTAAAGGAATTTAGAGTATAAGATGAACATACCTGAAAATCTTCTGTTACAGAATCAATACTTTTTATTCGATTTAATGGGAGTAGAGAGTTGTATATGTTTGATTTATCACTAGTAATAGTACTACTGATGTCTGTTTCAGGCAATGCACCAAACTGATTTGACGATGAAGAACTAGATGACTTCATCTTTGAGGATTTAGTATTAAGTGATTTTGTTTCACTTATGAAAAATCTATGATTCGATGCAGCATTTTTTACCTAGATATTAATAGAAGGTTGGACAGGTTAGACTGTAAACAATGCACATAGATATTCAAAATTAGTCCACACAATAGCAATAATTACCTGCAAGGGTATTTTCATCATAAACTAAATTATGTAAAGGGATTGTTATTTCAAGTAAGCTGGTTTACTGAGAATTTTAAACATGCTTCGGGAAAGGAAGACATTTTGAAGTGTAACAAAAATACGAGTCATGATGGCATAAGTATTAGAAATACAATTTCATAGTATTTGTCATACATCGATATTGCCTAAACAACCATTGTAAATCATAGAACAGTGAACTGCTTCGTCGGAGCTTCGTTCAACTAGCTAGTGCGAACCTACAGCTGTACTTAGGATCTATATCTATGGGGTTGACCTCTGATGAATACTTTGAAGTCGTACATTGATTGGTCACTGGAAGATAACCAATCAATGTGCCTAATCCAGTCCTACAGGAGGTCAGCCGTGAACCAAATAGCTCAGTGGTAACTTTTGTGACTGCAGCACTGAGCAACGCGGGTTCGAATCTCAGGTGGGACATCAGTTTCCTAGAGGTTGCAGACACGCCTTGCTAGGGAGTGTCAGAAAGCACGAAATCTAGGACCAGGGCTTCCTGTTGATTGCTTCTATCCAACCAACTTTGAAGTCATATTCGTATCACTTGTTTCTTCAGACGTTTCGGGAGCCTAAGACTACGACGAAACAGAGGTCTAATGTTTCCCTAGCTGGTGATGGTCCGTGATTCATATCAATTAATTCTGCGCCGACCCCGAAACTGAATAGTAAACATAACTGACTAGTCTAACCTTTTAAGTGGCACAGTTCTACACGTAAATAGTTTCATTTCCTAAAATTTGCATCAATCTACAATCTAGTTTCAGACGACATGAAATCTTTCATGGAGGCTAAAACTGTTAAAATGTCACTAAAATTGTATGGTAAAGTATTAGGGAATAATTATTGTTGGTTAAACAGAATGTCAGTAATTTCCTTTTAAAAAATAATAAAGAAATAACTGTTAATTAAAGGGAAAATTGATGAGAGCGTATATTAATGTTTCATAAGATACAATACATGTGTCTATATATCCAATGGATTCAATGTTTCAATAGTTTATATTTATACCGAAAAATGTTACATTTTCTACCTTATTATTATTTGAAATGCTATTTTCCAATTTTATCAAATTGCATTGAGAGGGCAAGCGAAAAAGAGAGATGAAATAGTTGACTATAAAAAAATGATTTATACAATATTCAGAAAAGTTATATAAATGAATTGGAGTAAAGTATGCAATTATTACAAACTCATCAATAATTTATTGATACATCTATCCACTCGTATTTTGATGTAAAACTGACAGAATTCTGGTTACCTCAGAAAACTACTTGAAGAAAACTGTAGTATAGATTAACATAGATTTCGCTCATAATTACTGAATGCACGATAATTAAACGGGTTTTTAAATAAGTAATTGGGTTAGTGAAAACATTTTCACTTTCATAAACTTTGTCTTTTTGTCACAGATATTTAATGATTTCAGTTTGATATTGACCATAGACTGAATTCAGTTGAAAAATCATCGGAAACCTGGAAGAACTGGACAGCTGTTTCGTCCATGAGACTCCTCAGTAGTGCGCACCCATGATACCACCAGGGAATCGAATTCAGGACCTTCAGGTTTTATAACGAACGCGTTAACCACTAGGCCAGAGTTCAGTGGTCCAGTCTTCCATTTCTACCAATTCATGATATAGAGTGACTTTCATCCAATACCGTTATTGGGTAACTGCTCTCACGCTCGACTTAGTTGGCCTTAATCAGTTACGACGTCTTATTGGGAACTTTGAGAATCTGATCTCAAAGTAAGTTGATATTCACTATGGAGTTTTTTTTGTAGTGAACTGTTATACTTCAATTCAACACATTATTCACTTTGACTAAAGTAGTATGCAGCAGACATTATTATTATTATTATTATTATTATTATGCAATGGAATACTTTGTATTCATCAATCAATTTCAAGTTACTACGATTATATGACAATTTATGTAGCGAAACAAAAAGAAGCCTGGGAAAAGGAAGTCAAATGTATAGTGTCCAACAGTATGGTGTATACAGCTGACTGAACGAAACCAAACTAATAAAAGTAGACATTGAAATATTTGACATTTTATAAACTTAATTTTCTCTAGTGAAAAAAAAAGAGAAAATTAAAGTGCATATTGAATGTCAAAAATCTGGAACAACAAAAGATACAAATCATGCCATATAATAAATGCATAATTTTGTCATTATTTGATGTATAAATGAATCATATAATTTACATAGACGTCTGTTACGTAAAGTTAATTGTATTTTTTAAATTAAATAGTCAATTACACAAACTACTATGAAATAATAATGACATCTCACTTGTTTAAGTCATTGAAATATAAAGCAATGTGGAACAGATAAGTCCCGTGTTCAAAGGTATAATTAGAGAAACAGTGCATAAACAACTAAGGAGTTGATGATGGCTTAAATTACGAAATACCAGGTCTTTGGTTAACTTGATTTAGTTGCGTTTATTAAAATAAGATTTCTTTCCTATCTTAAAGTCGGGAACAATCTATGATTGAGAATAGTCAAGAGGAATCATATTTTCTATTCATACTTCATCTGATACCCTAAACAATCCTGCTAATAGTTGTGAACGTACACCTTTCATCATTTCACGTTACTAACAGTCGTCTAAACTACTACAAGATTTGGAAACCCTCCACCAACATTTCATTCGGGTTGATAATGAATACTGGGAAGTTGAAAAGTAATCATAGGCCAATTTAATTGCCAATATTTACCCACGTGTGAATTCTTCTGAGGACCTAAACCTGCAGGAATGCATCGCCGTGTGTACATTAATTCAGATGAAGTTGCTAAGATCCACCGATCACTCCAAATATTTTTCTAAGGGTCAGTTGCTGTCTTTAAATTTCTGGTCTTACACCAAACTGCAGATGGAGCTGGACATCTTCAGGGTGAGTAGCCTTGTTATGTTTCGATTATTGTCTAACCAGTTCCCCTTTGAAAACAGCCTTGGCATCCTTACTATCGAGGTGAACGCATAACAGTCTCCTGATTTTATTTCTTGCAGCACCTGACTACTATACTATTATCTATTCGTTTGGCTGTGATTCGGAAAGTAATACCTGTTGCTATTGTCGGGCTTAAGCTCCCAGCTTGAACACTGATATCGGCTGCTGCAACGAAGACTAGACAGTTTTCGCTTCAATTTGCCTTTTATTTCATCAAAACTGAATGTACAACGTGAGTAGGCTGAGATTACAAAGATACGGTAGTGTGTAACGCTGCAACCCCCCCCCCCCCCTTATTTTTACTGTACTATCCAACCAAAAAGCGTACACAAGACCGTCCACTAGGATCGGAAGGAGAAGTACACTATTCGCTTGAGAAGTTAAAGTTACATTGACGCCAGTAGGACAAAAAGAAGTAGTCATACAGCCTACAAACATTTGACGGATGAACTTAGCAGACTGACCACACAGGTAATCATATGTGTCTTGTAGGAATGTCTCGAAAATACAGTATACGTCTATAGTCATCAATTCGAGAGTTTTGTCTGGCAGTTTGTTGTCCAATTCGATGAAGAGTGTCCTTAAAGTGCCTATATTTTGCTCTTATTCGTTAAAATGTTGACTGGCCACCCGTGCTTCTAAGACCTTTCCGATAGCTGATATGACTTCAGTGAAAGTAGGATCAACCTGGACGTAAAAACTCGGAGTTCCGCATTTTCTCCAATCCACTAGTCATAGGACGAAATCGGAAACCTAAACGAGGATAAGACCAGTAACAATGGTCAAACCATCAAATCAGGGATATAACAAAGCGAGTGGTCATTGAAGACTCCAAAACTCAGCATGAAAACCGCGTACACTTTTCCGTGAAACTGACTCGTTTTCAAGGACACCAGAGCTGAAAGGTATTGAGGATGATATAGGATTACTAATAGAGAAGTGTGAAGAAAATCTAAAAGATAGTGAGGTAGAATGTTAATAGTAATTAAAAATGACTTCAGTGAAGAGAGATGTGCTAAGGCAGATGATACTCAAGGCTGTTAACATTGTGGACGATTACTGCTTCTTGTGAATGAAAGTGGATTAGTGAGGATGGTTTGATCGGCTTGTGAGTGTGGTTGAGGAACCAAGGGGTTATCGATCTGATGCCGATTACAGATGGCCTTCTGAAGGAAGTTCCTTTACTACACTGGCTCAGTACTTTTAAATCTTTTAATCAATACCAGTAACACAGATAGATCCATGAAATAAGAGTTGAACTTTCCTAAACCTTACCTCCACAAATGGAAGAGACCATCAGTTTGGAATGCGAGTTATCCTTAAGAAATAATATACTTTTGTCACATCCATTTCAGCCAGTTGAATGACTTTGCCCATTGGTTAATTATTTCATAATACCGTGATTGCAAAATAGTGAAAGTCAGTTGTTTTTGGTGTCATGTTTCCTCAACACAGACTTTTCTGATATAGTGGAACCACAAGGAATAAGCATTCGACATTATAGCTTAGATGGGTCACTACAACAGCTATATGACTATTTAACCTGAAGTGTAAAATGCTGATATGACACAGAAAAAAGGTCGTAACATTATACAATCGAATATCATAACTAAAAGTGCGTCTTCATGTGCAATTTAATGCACTTTTAAACACACATATGATCACTAAAAGCTAGTAATTAGCATAATCATTTTGACTACCTGAGATAGCCGCGGTTTGGCAGACTAGTATTGATACTGGGTGATGATTGAAGGTGAAATGAACCTGGTAGCTCAGTTGGTAGAGCATCGGGTCGCGAACCCGGTGGTCGCTGGTTCGAATCCGACCGCGGTCCAGATTTTCATTTCATCTTCAATCATCAGCCAGTATAATTAGCATTACTTTTATTACACAATTCTCCATTTATAGCTCTTTTGACATCGTTCTTTGATATGAACTATATACCGGTACATTTTACATTCTTGTAAAAACCATTTATTCAGAATAAGGGGGACTGTAGTTTAGCGTTTTGGCTGGGCAAGAAGTATGACAAGTCATCGATCAAAAGTGAAGTAGATTAGAGCGAAATATGACTTATCCTGATAAACGTTTAGAGAATATTTGTGCAGACTAAGAATACGGATAAGGCTGAAACTCAATGACTACTCTATAAATACAAGTTAACAATTCTTATTGCACAATAATCTTTAAGGAAATCAGTGACGTTATATGATATTGCTTGTATTATCCAATCGTCGATTGAACTGAATTGATCGGTTTCTATTACCATATGGCCTTCTGAGCTGACGTCTCAATATTGTCTATCATTTCAATTTTGTCGTAATGATAAATCGCTCGCTGGGAGGCATGTAGGTCCAGCTGACGAGTCCTAAATAGGACGAAATGCGTGTCCCGGATTGCACTGCTACCCACTTCCCATCATTATTATAAAATCAGTGGTGTTGTCAGTCAATAAAGTTCAGTGTTAAAAGCCATCCAGTCAAAATCACTGACTACAATCTCTGATAAAAAGTGGTATAAACTAGTAAAATATAACTGCTGAACAATATACACAGTTACAGACTATTATTCTGTGAAAAATAATTTAAAAAAAGCATAACATACTTTTAGTAAAATCCATTGAGGTAATTTAAATGTTCTAAGCGTTTCTGAACGTCCTACAAAAGTAGACTTTGTTTTGCAGGCATTCATCTCTCCAGCAATTTGATAAACTTGTTCTGCATGAACTAAATACGCCCTTACACCATGACTAATTATAATACCAGTTTGGACAAGCCATGCTTTATCATCGTTATCACAAGCATAACGAAATAATTCTGGATGCTTACTATAAATACGACCACGAGCAGTGCCCATTCCTAACCATCTTTAAAATAGAGAACAAAATATTATAGTAAAAGTGGACAAAATCATTACATTATTATCATTAAAATTGTTAAATCAAATGAATTCCTACCGATTTCTGAGATTACTTGAATATCTCTAACTGATGAAGTAAATATGAATGATAAAGTTATGCGGGAATTATTAGACCGGCCGGCGTATTATAGTGATTTATTCGAGTTTATGGTTGGACAGAGTTTATGAACCCGTTAAGGTTTGCTGAACAAACCTATAATATAAATGATTTCTCAAGATTATTCAAAACAAATCCTACTGGAAAAACAAGCAATATCAGTAGGAACAACAGTATTTATTCTTGAATGAAATACAGAGTAGAATTCCTGCAAATTGAAAACATTCACGAAAAGTGAGGTGAGCATAATTGTGACCCTCAAGATGGTTAATTGGGTTAAAACGATAGGAAATGTTTTTTAAAGTGTAGAAAATATAAAGGCCACTTGATATATATATCGTTAAATCTTGTACACATTTCGACTCGACTATACATCTTTTGTTAATTCTTTCTGTTCCCAAGGGACCCTTGAAGGTGAAGTTCAAAACGAATTGCTAAAGAGTACCAACTACTGACGCTTGTCATTAAGAATAGATTTTAAAAAAGTCAACCGCTGCTGCAATCGAGAGATAAGTACCTCAAGGCAATGAAATTCGTAATGATGTCTGCTCAGTTTACAAACAATAGGACACATACATACATTTTCTCTTTGATTTTCATGGATCACATTGCTGGTGTTCATGCAGATACTCTGCGGGTCAGTGAAGCGCATTTCAAAGATTCCTAAGACTTATGATTAGTTTCAGGTCATGGTTGCATTTCAGTAGCTAACAATATCATCAGTAGTTTGGTTCACAGGTAAATGTACTGAGGCAAAACTTGAAAATATTTTCATCTTACATTCCACATATCTAGTAGTGTTGAGTTTTCCCTTTATTACCAACTGGTTTTCCAACGCAAACAATATCCAGGTGCTATCATTGAGTACAGTAACAGACAAAGTTATCATAAACATTCATTGGACCTGGATCCCCCCCCCCTCAAATAAGTTCAACGGAAGTGATGAAGATGAACCGTATGAGAATATGTGAAACAGTAGGAGCGATTATAATCCATACAGTTTAAAATTAAAGGTTCAAGGTCGGCTAGATGGAAGTCATTCCTATAGCCTCATAAACAAAGTTGAACTAGATATGACAAACGTGAATTCAGTGAAAATATCTGCATCACCAAAGAGAGAAGGACATAAAAGCGAATTATGTTGTCAAAGGTTAATTTGGGTTGATTTTAAGGTCAACAAATGAGAAAGTAATAAATTGACCACTATCGTATGACTACAATGGTAGAAAGTATTTGTACCTCAGGTGGATGATCTTGATTGTGTTGCGTTCTATGAGCTGGGTGGTTTATTCGTGAAGCCTTCGTTCACTTTCTAGACAACATTATCAGCAAAACCTTCAATATGAGGTGAGCTATCAGGATTTCTTCGTGAGTGATTCAGTAGCTCGCTCTGACAGTGTGGTGTGTGATTGATAGTTTCCCTCAATAGTTGTGTCATTGGCTGGATAGATTTTTCCGTTGGCCCTTTTTTTAACCTGACTTTTGACCTGGTAGCTGTTTATCATTTATCTTAGTGTTTGATAAGTTGTGTCTATGTGTATACATCTATTGATTGCTGACTGACCTGAATGCGAAGCTTCTACGAATTCTCTGGTATTTTTTGTATTTCGTCAATCACAATTAAATCATCTAGCTGAGTAGCACCACCGAAATCCTACCATAAAGTTTAACTTGGAATCATCTAAATGAATACTCGTTGGGATATCCCAACTTCACCTCGATATGAGGTCGTACTGGCGACATTGTTCGAACTGCCGTGAAAATCTCTATCCATCATTAGAAACGTCAAGCTTAGAGGGCGATAAAACTTCAACAAAAATACCATACCAATTATGAAGAAAAACAAATGCGAACCAACAATCAACCAAAAACTGCATATGCAGCAAAATAATATTCAATGAAAGTATACCTTTCTAAAATATAAAAACGACTCACGTATTTGCTGATGAGCCTAAAGCAAACTGTGTAGTTTGATCAAACTTGAATTTTTGTGAATTGTTACGCTTAGTAACTGAAGCATCGACATTATTTTCCCCCTGAATACATGACTTTCTGGATAAATGTGATAAGCTTTTCACAATATGACTCTCATCTTTATCAGGAATATCATGATTAATATTTTCACTGTAAAATTCATTGTCGTTGGTTGGAGTATTATTACGAACCATGGATGAAGTTGTAGGTTGACTATAGCGAAAAAATTACATATAAGCGAATCATGGTAACCAAACAACCAATAATGCTTATTCTATTGTCAATTGATAAATAATTAAAACAGGTAAGAAAGAAAACATGTACATATATAGGGTGAAATTTACGTTCTGGATTCCATGATCAGTCTCTATTCCCCTATATATATCTATCTATATACAGTATCGAAGGTGTTATTAAATCATTGTTGGAAGTGATACACTGTAAGCATTGATTCATCTATGCTTCCTGTTGATTATCAGTAGCAAGGCATATCTGAAAGTCTGACAAAACGTTTATAGCAGGATATGTATATTAGTTTCATCCAAAGTTGTAGGGTGTAATATCGTTGATGACTGTCAATAAACTGCATAGAAACCAGACGTATTGGCTTATTGTCAACAGACCTCAATCATCTAATAAAAGTTGTATATTGGTGCTTATTTTTGTAGAGTAGCAGTTATGTTCTCAAAGCTAATTGACACAATTCAGTCAACACAAAAGAAGAGACAACGACGCAGTATAATTATCGTAAGCGGATAAGGATAAAGATGACGGTAACGATAGTTTTCATTCTTATGAACCACCGATGAATTTGATCCAGTTTCCTACCTTTTACAGCCAGTCACACAGCACAGCAGTCCGCTCTGTTCTACTATGAAACATGGCCATTGAAAGTGGAGGATACAAAAAGGCTTCAGGTGTTTGACCACCGTTGCGTTCGTAATATAGGACGTATTCCGTGGTGTCGCCACGTGAGTAATGCAGAAGTTAGGTGTAGAGTTTTGGGGAGAAGAGGTAAGTCAGTTGACGAGGTTGTGAACCTTCATCGACTGAGATGGTTGGGACACGTACTACATATGCCTAGTCACCGATTGCCTCGTCACACAATGTTGGCTGAGGTGCGTTCAGGCTGGAAAAAGGCCCGAGGTGGCCAGACTAAAACATAGCACCAGTGTATGAAGTCTCTGACTGTTGGTTTAAGCCATGTAGGACGATGCAGACTAGGTGGTTGGGGTGGGTGGGACAAGAGGAACCAGTGGTTGGAGACCCTAGGTGATCACATGGCTCAGAACCGAAGTCAGTGGCGCAGATGTATACACACATTATCCTCATCTTAACGAGGCTATACCGAATCTCACTATTTTGTCACTCCTCTTTCCTTTCTTCTCGTACTTTATATTTCTTTTGACTGCGTTCACTTATCTTCATCCTTCACCTCACTTGATGTGCTGATATGAGGTGTGGCAACTCGGACCGTTACGTCCTATGTTGATAATGATGATGATGACAGCCAGTCAATTCTAGGTGTAGGATTTTGCCAGTTCTACATACATTTATTAATTTAATTGCTCCCATGGAGATATGGCATGTAATTAACTAAGTCCAACATACAATGTTTGTCATCCATAGTGACTGAGCAGAGGATAGATAAGTTCAGTGTTTACATACCTAGTAGACACCGGTCATCAAGTGAATACAGACAAGGCTTTTACAATCATCCATCGTATACCGTCCAATTTCCCACGTCGTTTACGTATTCATCTGCCAAATAAGACAGAAGTCATTGATATATACCTTTGCCAACCGAAAAATTGTTTTTAAAACGTTTCTCCAACCTCTGTTATTATCATGGCTATCAAGGCAATGTAATCTAATACTTCAATTACTTTTTCACCGTTCCATTCATATTCCTTGTTTCCCTCCTTTTCTTATTATTACGAAATTATTGATCGCCAACACGTGGCCGTTTGCCCAGAAACCTTCATTTTTCGCGTTAGTTGCTGTGCGATTGGTCGAATAATGTTATAGTTCACAATTCGACTAATCATGTGTAATTACTCTATTCATAAACTTGAGTCTTCACTTCTTTAGTTGCTAGCCTAATGGTAAGTTTAAATTTTGAATTATTTTTAACTAATAAACCCAACATCATTAAAACAGTATTTCGTTATGAATTGTATAGCCTAAGAAGACGACTTCATTGGAAATAAATATTTCGTCTTTTCTTTAAAACGCCTAAATAGGAATTTTCAATTTTCATTAAAACAAACTTATTCCGTTACAATATTACATTTTAGATTATGCATACCTATGCAAACAGATATACACACCGACAACTAAATCCAGGCAATGTTTTATGTAAGAACAAGAGATGAAAATAATTTTGTAACAGACAACTTACCTAGATGCCATTTTACTAGGTTGATTGTCATTTTGAGTCTGAAAAATGATAACAAAAATAGAATAAATGCATACAGACGAGAATAAACTCGAAAGGGAAACCAGTAAATATCAAATCCTAAAAATAAAAACGTACATGCATCATCATCATGTAAAAAAAGATTTACCATAATTCTTTAAGGAACTTGAATTCCCTATTCGTATAGAATTTTTCCACCACATGTGTAGTAGATATTTCGGTCACTCTGGATAAGGCAGATTTCTTTTTTTTTTGCTTCCCTACTGCTTTTATAATTCTATACAACTTGTCAGTACCATTGTAGTGGGTGCTACTGATAACAATGGATATAAGTAGCATATAGTGAGAGGTGTGTAAATACTCTGCACAGAGAAACGTGAGAGATACCGTGGGCATATGAAAAGTAAAACGAGGTAGAAGAAGAAGATGAAATTAAACATATCGCATAAATTGATTTTCAATGAAAGGTTATAATATTTTATCTGTAATGTATAAATTGTCATAATATACAACTTTTCTGAGATTCACCCTTCGCCCTTTTCTTTCGACTAGTGTCGCTGCTCCTGATGAAGATTCTGTGGCCTGCAGTGTTCATGGATGGAGACATCAAGGTCTTCCTCAGGGATTTCGAGTTGGTCACGAAGTTGGTGGGTATTTGGGATCCGGGAGAGAAGGTCGTGGTGCTTGGCACGTTACTGAGACGTCGAGTGGAGGTAATGTGTGACGGCGTGGAACGCGTGGTTGGAATGGAGAGTTGGGAAAGAGTGGTTGAACGACTCGAGGCGGAGTTTGACAGCCCAGCGGACAAGAAGCTCGCAATGCAGTAGTTCTGGAACATGAAACTTGGAACAGACGAAGATCCTCTGGTATTGGCTGTAAAGTTGATGAAACTAATTTAGCGAGCACTTCCTACTTTGGAAGAAGACTCCCAGACAAAGTTGCTGTCTCCACAGTTCACCAAAAGTACGCTAATGCTATCGCCCAGCAGCTACCACTATTCAACGCAGCCCAACTAATGGGTATTCGTGAGCTGGTGAAGGTGACCAAACAGCTCGTGGGTACAGCAGTAGCTGCGGTGGAGTCACCGGATTTAAATAACTTGAAAAACAAATAGATAACCTTCAGGAGGAGGTGGCTGAGCTTTGAATGAATATCAACAGACAGAATAACCGCTTCGTATGCGGAAAACTTGAACACTGGCGAAGAAAAGCTTTAAAACGATATAATATGGGTTCTGTTTTTCCGACTAGACTAGATGTTGAAGGAGCCATAGATCGAGGTGCTGTGTATGCGAATAAATGATCGGGAGATCGTGCGTCTAATAAATACGGGGGTAGCAGTCTCGTTGATATATAAGAGTCAGTCTCAGAACATAAGACCATGGTGTCCACACAGTTGGGAGACACGCATTAGAAATCGCAGGCTTATCAGATTGTGTCGTCGAGATCGGAAAATTAGACTTCCATTAGATGTCACCACGCGTCTACAACGGACAATCTTGGGTGGTGATTTTTTGAGAGAAGTGGATGCAGTTATTAACACGAGAACAGGAATAGTGGCGATAAAGTACGGGTGGTTCACCACGGAGGTAGCAGAGATTGAGGTGAGGTATCAAGAGCACCACACCCAGAAGCACCAAACATCATGAAGCTGGTTAAAAAGTACGAGAGTTTGTTCATGAGAGATGGAGACCCCTACGGGTACTGTGATTAGGTTCAGCATGAGATCCCAGTGGTAAGTCAAGCAATGACAACATTTAAAACACAACGAATCCCATTTCACTGAAAAGTTGTGAGCCAGGTTCAAGAAATGTTAAATGAAGGCACTATTGAAGACGTCAATAGCCCATACATCTTGCCAGTGCTTTTAATAAAAAGTTCAATGGGAAACATAGACTCTGTCTTGGTTTCTGAGAGTTAAATACCATAACGAAACTAAGGCCGTGTGCCATGCCTACAGTAGCTGAAACACTGGATCGTCTGCAGAATGTAAAATTATTTACAGTTCTGGAACTCTGCTCAGGTTACTGGCAGTTACCAACAAAGAAAACGATAAAGAGAAAACAGCATTCATTGTGGAGAAAAAGAAGAAATATCAATTCAAACGAATGGCCATTTGGTCTTGCAGGTGCACCATTTACATTTAGACGGTTGATGTTCCTGAAGAATTTAGAGAACGTAGAGCAGTATAGTGGTGACCTGGTGGTTTACAGTCAGACGGAAGCCAAATATCTAGAACACATGGAAGCTGTTTTAAGATGGATTGAAGAGGTTGGACATCGCATCAATGAGACAAAATCTCAGGTAGCCAAGAAGAGTGCTACATCACTAGGACATAAAGTTAGAAACGCTGAAATAAAACCATTACCTGAGAAAATTTTGGGGTTTAAAACCATTCCAGTGCCGAATTCAGAGAGGAAACTGACACAGTTCTTGGATAAAGCAGCATTCTACAGTCGGCTCCTCAAAAATTTCAACAAGATATCAGCACCTTTATATAAGCTACTTGGCAACCCCAAACTTACGTGGTCAGAGGAGGCACGGAAAACGTTTAATCACATTAAGCAACTCCTAAATGACCAGGAAATGACTATGAAACTACCAATACCCAGGAGGCAATTCATTGTGTCCACCGATGCGAGTGATTATGGAATAGGCGCAGTTTTGAGACAGACTGGAGGAGTAGTGGAGTATGCCAGCCATGTCCTGACACCTACAGAACAGAAATATTTCACAGTTGAAAAGGAATGGCTGGCGATAGTTTGGGCGCTGGATAAATGGAGATCGTACCTTCTCGGTCAACGATTCCATATTGGGACTGATCTCCAGTGGCTGAAGACAGCGAGAGACCATAGAGGAGAATTATCACATTAGATATTACAACTGCAAGAGTACGATTTCATAATCGGTCACGTGGAAGGAAAAGAAAATTTTTTGGCAGACTTCTTATCAAGATCAGACGAAGAAAATGAACTGAGACAGCATATGGCGTACATGTAGTGGAGCGGAACACATTAAGACTTATTCGCCTTCAGAAGTCCGACTCTACACTTAAAGAAGTGATAAAAGCCATAACCGAAGGAACGGAGGCAAACAAGTTGGTGGGAAATAAAGAGTTAAAAATGTTATTGACGTAGAAAGAACGCCTAATAGTTCTGACTTGATGAGAAAATGACGAAAGTGGTTGGCAGTGATTCCAAAATGCTTACGCCACAAAATGATACAGGAATGCTATCAATTAGCTCATACAGATGTCGCATGGACAGCCAATTTTCTAAGACAAAGGACGTACTGGCCGGGTATGAGAGTTGTAGTCAAATACGTTTTGGACTGTCTTTGTTGTCAACTGATGAAAGGTGATAGGTATATACGACCAGCGTTTCAGTCGATTCCAGTAGATGCAGTTGGTGACCTCTGGTCTGTGGACGTAATGGGACCATTTCCGCAGACATCTAGCGGCAACCAACACCTGTTGATGACACAGCATGCTACACGGTGGGTGGGCGCTGGAGCGATTCGTGACCAACCCACGAAGACAGTGACCACAGCGGTGAAGCGGCATATTGTCGCGGATCACGGTGTGCCGAAGATGATATTGACCGACCAAGGTCCTTGTTTTAGAAGTGATGAACTCGAATCCTATTAGGAACAGCTCGATATCAAGAGGATGAGAACGACACCATATCACCTACAGACTAACGGTCTGACAGAACGGAATAACCACACACTTAAAGAGTGGCTGGCTTTGAAAGGAGGGAACCGAGAGACAGAACCGCCATTAATATTATTAGTGCGTCGTGCCACTGTAAAAGAAACAACCAAGAAGTCATTGTTTCAGTCAGAGTGTGGCAGAAAACTATGGCTCCCAATACACAGTAAGATCTGGCCACAGCAACAGTCGCGCAACATGACAAGAATGAGAAAGGACCGGAAACAGCGAATCAGAAATGTGGAACAGAAACAGAAAGGTGATGCTGAAAAATCCCAACAGAGAGAAAAGGAAGTAAATGCAAACCATTCGAGGTCGGAGATCAGATGAAATGTAAAAAGCGAGGAAATACTTCAGAAGGACGATATGGTTCAAGAAAACTGCTAATGAAGTGGGAAGTATCATGAATGGTTACCGAAAGACAGTTCAGTTAATACCATCAAAAAAGGGACAAAGAGAAAAGAGTAAACACCACTCTATTTCAAAAACGGATACGGCTAGAAAAAAACTTTGAATGAACACTACAAGAAGACAACATTAAGGTAATCAACACGGCTGCAAGTGCGAATTTTTGACTGTGGACAAATATACCGGGTGCTACTGATAGGAATGGATATAAGTAGTATATGTTGAGAAGTCGGAAGAAGTCATAGGCGATTACGAGCGATGGATAAATATTTAGCTCCGAGAAGCGCAAAAGATGATGTAGCCACATCAATAGAAAGACAAGATAAAAGATGATTAAATTAAATATACTGCGCAAATTGATATTTCAATGGAAGGTTATATTTTTTCAGTAATGTACAAGTTCTCGTAATACGCACTGCTTCTGCGACTCACCCTTCGCCCAGTCCCTTGACCATTAGCCTTGTGATGATTGTGCATAAGAAACTGAGTCTGAAGCGAATTGCCTCAAAAAATAAGCGCGAAACGGAATTAAGATGTTAAAGCCAATAACACCATTTAAATAAAGACAAGGTGAAGTTGTTATTGCGCTACTGTTACTGACTCTAAACAATAACAACAACAGTCTATAACCAAAACTCGCAATGGTCTTGCTGCTTCAGTATTCCTACGTCCCTTTAGATCCAGACATACACGTGCTCAAAACTATGCGTCATCGCGGCTCATGTGAATGCTTCAGGAGCAGAAATCTTACACCAGACCTCTCCAACACTAACTGATGACAATGTGAACTACCCCTGCCCACCGTTGATTTGAGGTCGGTGGATACCAAGTCAGACACTGTCTCGATTTACGTTGGAATTTCGTGCTGGCTAGAAATAAATGGCTATCTGAACAAAGTTGTTGCAAGCAATCACTGTTATCTGTTCATCCGGATGGAACTCCGAAAGTATCATCTACGTTAACTTGTCTGATTTAGACTTTCTACTTGTACATTGAGATCATTTGCCGCGATAACCACTTCTTAGCGTTTGACATTTTGTGGGAGGCCAGAAAGTTTCCTACAGAAGTCAGCTTTCACTTTTTCTGGACTGCAGACAATGCATATGTAAGCAGAGATTATAAAGAGACAGTGTTTCACTACTTTTACTTCTCACCACACTGTTTAGTCAAACCGTTCACAGACGACTGTAAACTGGAATCCAGTCCAGGAGTTCATTTTCTGTTTTGAATCAATGTTATACTTTCACCCACAGGATCTTAAGAATTAGCCAGTGAATCTACAGAAACTCGTAGGGTGAGGTACTTGAAAAGAAGGGTTACTATATGATGGCATAGCCCAAAGGACATCTGTTTGAGGTCGATCACACACGGCTTTTTTATAAGTTTAATAGCTTAGTTTGTTTTTGATTCCGATTGTGAAACCGTATCAGCGATGCTGGTATACAGCGAGACAGGGAGCAGTGTACTATTTTTAAGGCCGGATCAGTACGACAATGCTGGTCATTCACGAGAAACCCCAACCCAGTCAGTAGTACAACTTTTTCCTCGGATTCTTATCATAGCGTATCAATCTACATCATAACCGTGACTGCTTTTCATCTTACACTTATTCAACAGACCTTTCTGACATGTTGCGACCTCAAATGAATACGTTTTCTACCAGCATAGCTCGATGGGTTACTGTGATATGCAAACCTGACCAGCACGTCAAAATAGCAGCTATCAGTCAGGATATCACAGTAAGACATTATTATTTATTTACTGGATGACGTTTCAAGTACAATTTGCTGCGCATAATAACATCAAAGTTTTTTATTGGAATACTTCTGTTGTTCTGTTACAAGGAGTATATCTTCAGTAAGTCTATAACTTTATTGCATGTAAGTAGTGCGCAATTTCATTTAACAGGATTTCAGCCAAACTTGTTTGAGGGTTAAGGATACTATCCAAAAGGCAGCAGATGTAAAGGAGGGTCCAAATCCATAGACCACAGATTTTGGATTCACTGTTTAAACTAATAAATTATAGCTTGACTTTTTCTATGCCAAAAGGATTAAGGGATAGACATCCCAATCGGTCTTTGAATTCATCAACATGAAAATTATGATCGAATAAGAATAATGGACTTACAGGTAAACTTTTGTCATTCATCAACTTATCTTTATACTTTCCATATTCAGTTTTGTTTCGCTGACGATTATTATTTTTATTGTTACTTGGTTTGGATTTCTTTGCACGAGTTCTATCCCACCATGGGGTTTTTCGACCTCTTGATGCTTTTGATTTTATTCTGCGAGACTGGGTATTGGAATGTGTAATCGACCGTAAGCCAACAGGTGAATAGTTAGATTTATATGCTGATAACTTTGTGACTGCATTCCCTGGCTCTGATACTGTTGCATTGGAACCCATTAAGGTTTCCTCACTATCAGAACTGCAAGCATCACGAAAAAAACCGATTGTAGAATTTGAGGAAGCTGATGAAGGTGACTGAGAATACAGTGGCAAACACGGATACTTTTCTGACGAGTCATTTACATTGCAGTCTGAAGTCAACGACTCACAGTTAATTTTGGCCGGACTGTTCCTTCCAAATGTAGAATTTTCGTGTAAACCAGTAGCTGTTGAATGATTGGATGGATGTGCTCTTTTACGCGAACTTCTAAATGATGCATTATTTCTCAAACTATACTGTGATTCATAGTCTTGAGAAGCCGGTCTGCATTCATTCGTTTGAACACTTTGAAGCGTTTTATTTGTTCTATCGTCAAGGTTATCAGTAGAAAATAAAGGTTTCTCTGAAGAGCTAATTGAATCGCATGTAGCAGTTGATGAAAGACGTGGTGAATTACTCACAGATATTGATTCTAATGAATCAGGAGTTAGAATGCGAGACTGGAGTTTGACATTGGCACATTTTGATGCACTACTACAAAGACTAGTAGTTTTTGACTGTGAAATTACGCTCATATTTGACTGTTTAATATTGTTCTCTTTTTGTACACTCAAGTTGCTGGTACTAGTCTCTTGCATGGAATTATTTGCATGTCCTTGTGGATTAACAGTATAACTTTGAGAACGTTCAGAAAAATAACGCAAGGCAACCTATAGATAAACCAAAATATATTATAGAAGATGACTATTGCATAATTTCGTAATTACCAACTTGCATATAAAATTATTGTCATCAATCTAAAACGTTTGACGAGAGATGTTAACGATTAGCAAGACAGTTGATAAAAAGCCTACAATTTCGATACAATGATTATCTACTTTCACATTGAGAATTAATAGTTCGTTAAGGTATGGATTTTAACAACATCTGTAAAATTTAATTGTAGAAACATTTAAGTGAGAGTGTACCATGTTGACTAGTGAGTATTGAACATCTATTGAAAAGAGGTCAATCATCAATGCATCCAACAAATACAGTGGTGTTATGAATACTTAAATAACATTATGGCACAAACTGAAAATCATAAGACCAATGCCAATATAAATTACACATTACTATGAGATAAGAATCAGTCTTATGGCCACATTTAACGCCTGACGGATCGGTTAGTACTAAGGATTTAACATATATTGGCTATACCATCCAATATAAAGGAACGCTTGAATAAGTCAATGGTACACTGACGTGAGTGCAACAATCAGTAATAAAGGTAACGATGTGAGCAGTGATAGGTTTCCCTAGGTGGCAAATATATGTTGGTGATAACTGTCAACAAGCACAGAACTCAAATGAAGAACGGTCTCTTAGTAGCAAACTTCAAAAATGTAAAACGCGCTAGCAGACAAAGAGACAGATAGAGAGACAAAATCAAGTTGCCACGCTTTACAAAAACATACAAAGAACAGGTGGATAGAAAACCAGTCATATCAAAGTAGATAAAGTTGTGTGACAGAATAAACAATCTGAAGATAAAAGTTAGTGCAAATATTTAAGCTTTAGAAGATGTCAAGGAGTGAACACATTTGCATCGTTGTCACTGATTTTGAGCCATGTCACCAAGTGTCCTCAACCAATGATTCCCTTAGTATCGGGAAACCCAGTTCGACAGTCTACATCTTCCCACACGACTCAGACCAACATTAAGAGACTTCATTTATGAGTGCCACGTCTTGATCTGGCCACCTTGAACCCTATTCTACATTAATCCGACTTCCCCTAGCAAGGCAAGTCGACGTGGGTAATGGTGATAAATTCTTATATAGCTCAGTTAATACACACTTATTATACTCATCAATATAGCATTGAAATGAAGTGTTTTTGTTGTATACGTGATTTAGTGACTCTCAAGTGCAATAGCCTTAGTTGGATTTGATTGACTACTATGTTATATCCGTTTTCTGAAATGGTACACTTTAGGGTAATTGTTTTCCCATTTGCATTGAAGCATTGTAGTGGCATATTTCCTAGCAAAAATATAATTGCCTACTTGTAACTCAATCTAAAACTAGATTAAAGATCTGTCAAGTTGGCAGAATGAGTTGCAGTACATAAATATACACAAACACGATAAAAGTATATTTTGCAGGTGTAGTAGAAACGTCTATCTTCAAATAATTCTGTTATGTTACTTGAATTATCTCGTTGTTGACTGGACTGACATCATCGGTTTCTATTGGCAAATAGGCTCCTAAGCGAATGTCTTGATGTTGCCTGTGTTTCATTCTTGTATTAATGATGGATTTTGGTTGGTAGTGGAATTTAGGATGCGCGTATCATCCTAGACAAGTAACACAAAAATTATACCCATTGCACAAGAAGTAACCATAGTGACTCGGTGGTCTAGTGGGTACGGCTCTGGGGTTTGTAGTGATCGCTCCCAGGTTCGAGTCTTAGTGGGAACACCATCGCTCACCGAGAGGCAGACACATCCAGCTTACGAGTCCCAAATAGCACGAAACGCGCGTCCTGGATTCCACTGCCAATTACTGTCTATCATTGATATAAAACTCTAAGTATGACCTAAGTAGCCAGTTAGCGAGATTACCCACATACCACTTAATTATCTTTTCCCAAATAGCAGTCAGGAATAAATTTCGGGAAATGAAGCTAAGCTAAGTTAAAGTTAGCGATGATATACGGCAAACTAATCGGTAAAGGCCCAGACCATTGAATACACATGCAGCTAGTTTAGATTCTGAACTGGTCCAGATTTTTTAATACCTATTGGGAGGCCTCAGATTTACGTAAGACATTATTTTTTTTTTTACTTATGCAGTTTCTTACGCTATGACCATTGCCTTTTTCAAGGTTATTTGCTAATTGATTCTATCTGGAGGTTTGTGGAGATTTATTAATCGATTTTAAGTTGGAATTCATTATGGACTGACACCAGTTGGAGGAACGTTGGAAATATGGGACTAGACGGCTGCCCCGTCCTAGTATGGAACTCCTCAGCAGTGCGCAACCATGACTCCAACAGTGATTGGACCCAGGACTTTCAGTTTCTGTGGCCAGCACGTTGCCGTTGAACCGCTGGGTCGGTATCCAGTAGTCCACATTTCCTACTTCTGTCAGTTCACGACATAGCACGACCTACACCCAATGTCGTCGTTGAACAACTGTCCTCTTGTTCCACTTGGTTGATTTCACTGATCACGACTTCTCATTGGAACTTCGGGAATCACCTCTCGAAGCTTTGCTGGCCACGGGATTTGAAGGTCCTGAGTTCAATATCCGGCGGGGTCATGGGTGCGTAGTGCTGAGTCTCATACTAGGATGAAATAGCTGTTCAGTGCAACCAGGTTTCCAACGTTCCTTCAACTGATGTCAGTCAGTCCATGATGAATTACAACCTAAAATTTACTGGTTAGTTAACACTTACTTTCATTATGTCAATGTTTTAAATTCTGGACAAGGTTACATATCATGTATAGATGAAGACGTGGTTTGGGTTATTTCCAATTTTTACAGAGGCAATAAACTACCCTATCAAGACCAGTCTACTAACCTTCCTATTTTTGCCTGGGGGTTTGAATTCAGTGGTGGTTGATGTACGAGTTACCCATTAGTTAAAAGCGTCCAAACCATCTAATAATTAAGAACGTAATAATACCTCACTATCACATACAACGGACGTGTTTACTTGGGAATCAATCGTTCTGTACGCAAACATGTCGAAATCGCATAATTGCAAATAATTCCGTAAAACAAAGTAGGAATACATTTTTTGATTGGTTATTCAACGTTTACCCGGGTAACAGAATTTTAAAATAAGTAAATAGCCATGTTATTCAGTTTCATTTTAGCTCGTTTACCAGATGTATCACACAGTAACAAAAAACCGTTTATTGGGTAACGTTTTAGACACTCCATCGTCAACAGTCATATCACAGTAATCCTACAAATTTAAGACACAGTTTGTATAGTTCTAGTTCTGTCTCCTATTTTGCGACAGACATGGAAAAGTCTGAAATTTATGAGTAGAACTATGGATAGTAAATTATGCCCGAAACGTTATCCAGTAAGTAATATCCGTATGTTAGTTGGCGGAAGTGAGTCGACAGAAAGCCCTTCAGAAAGGTTTCGTGGTTTTTGCTTCTCATCAGCAAGGGGCATCTGCAACCATTAGGAAACCGGTGTCGCTCAATGCCGAAATCAGAGACTTAACCACTAAGCGATTAAGTCCACGACTGACCCCCATATAGGACTCGACTATATACACAAGTTGGTTATCAGTCAGTAGCTCACGTAGCCGTCTGGTCACTTTAGTGCTTATCACTGACCAAAACTTATCGACCAAGTTTAGTAATATGGCTGTTAAGCCAAGTGACGTGACACTGCGGTTCATTGTATTTCCAATGTTTATATCATAAATTGTCTCGTTCCTATTTTGTTAAGAACTTTAACAGTATTCAGTTTCGGTCCTATTCAAAAGAAATGTATGTACTGACTTCATTAATTCTATGGATACCTTTAGGTTGTTTGCAAACGAACACAAATCTTGAAATAAAATGAGTTCATTTGGTCGTATAGATTAGTTTCTTGTCACTTTGGTGAAAAAAAGGTTAATGAAACATATTGTACGACGTTTTTCGAGGAATCCTTTGCGAATCTATTTGCTAGTAACACAATCTAGGGTTACAGAGACGTAGATATTTTATGTAAAATAACAATTTTTATCGTTTAAACTTAAAAAATTAGTATGAAAATTATTAAAAATATACCAATCAGTGAAATAATTTATTGAAATATTACTCAATAGAACTTCCAATCACATGAAACGAATTACAAATGCGATATGTACTATATATGTTTGCCCTAAAAAAAATAAATCAGCTGATGTTTTGAAGTAACTGAAACCTAGGATGTTATGACAGCTATTACTGAAGTTGTGAGAAAAGTAAATAAACCGTTTTCTCATTTCAACTAGTAATACTCTGATTACTGGTTAACTGGTGTATAATCGTATCATTTAATTCAAATTCTACAACCATTGGTTGATGTCTCATGTATCGATGTGAGGTGTAGTAGATGGAATCAGTATGCAGGAATGCTATTCCTCATGTCGATATTGACTAAGTGACAGACAATGGTGAAATAATACAACAACAATAATGATTCTCATCAGAAATGGATGGATTTATTTTATATATGTCTATGTAACAGATAAATCAGAGATCAAACGGGTGGGGGGTGGGGGAACTTTAATCTGACCGCAACGTAGGCGTCGTAAGTTAGTTGACAGATTAAATAACTAACTGAAAGGTACGTATTGACAATGCAATCATTACCATCGGTTCAGTCGATAAATCATAATACACCCAGATGCTTCAACGACAATCTGTCAACAACCGAAAAATTTGCGCATACAGATGAGTCTAAGAGAAAAAAGACTTATGCTGTTCATCTATATACCAGTAGCTTTTTGTTAGAATATATAATTACCAACAAAACTAAACACATCTCTAATTCCTTTTATCTGCACAAGTGAAAAAAATTTTTTGTTCACATGCATCTTATTATTGAGAAAGGGAAAACCTAATAATAAACACTTTTTTATTTATTTCTAGTATGCAACTTTCGAATCGACTGAGTCTGAACTAAAGTTCACTAAGACGTGAAATATATAAAATTATCGATAAAATATACT